AAAGCTCGGATTTGTTGGTCATGTTCTTCCCTCATCCGCCGCATAGTCATTTCCATTTCAATCTTGAATGCTTGCTTCTGCTTGGCTAGAGCATCCTCAACCATTTTAGTTGCTTCTTCGGTGTTAATCATAAACACTTCGCGGGATTGCCCTGGGCTAGATACGGTATTGTCAGAAGCGACTGCAGAGTTAGCATTCGATGCTTCATCGTCCGAGGATAACCCTCTCTGCATTCTTTGGTAGTCCCTGCGTCTAGTGGTCCCTGATCGCAACCGGGTTAGACGATGCGATACAAGCGGGTCAGAGCTAGAAGGTCGAATTGATTTTCCCTTATCAACCATATTGATGGTAACCTCTGGGGGTTCGTCACCTTGAACAACCGATCTCTTTTTACAGAGACGCTTTGGTTTGGACTTAGTCATTCCATTGGAGATCCTCTCGGATACGGAGACCCTCTGCGGAGCGGTCTTGGGGCAACTGCACGCTGATAATACTGCCCTGATTAGTTCGGCGCACGGGTAGTGAGATTTGGTTTCTCAGGCATATCTCTTCCGAGACTCGTTCATACCCCCAGCCTGATAGTACAACTCATCGGTCAGATGACCGGAGCAACCTATCGTGTGTTGACATGACTCCCCTGGTATAACGTTGTCATCGTCAGATGAATACGTTTCTTTCAGGGGATTTGCCGCTTTATCAGCGTTCTCAAGAGTCACATGTTTAGAACTACACTTTTGGGAGCGCAAGATCTCAACAGGCTCCTGGTTTTGAATACACACCCCCAGACGGGTGGAAACTGGAGTTTTCCTTTTATAAGAAGGCTTGTTATTGTTGAGAGGGCGTGTGCGACCCCCAGCTCGACGAGTTGCTCGGGGTTCAGTCACCGGACCCAAACGTTCTTTGCTCAGAACTTTGCCTCGATCCTCGTGCAAAGGACCCAGGCGATCAACTATCCTCACCTTGAATCGGGACAAATCCACGCTGTCACGGTGCCCCGCCGGAGGTACGGAACTCACAGGGATCGACGAAACAGGTGTAGAACATCTTCTGCCTTGACTCTGGCGCGGGTCAGATTTAAGTGACCGACAGGTTGGAGGGTCGGATTCAAGTGACCCGCAAAGTGGAGGGTCGGATTTGGGTGACCCGCAAAGTGGAGGGTCGGACCCAAGTGACCCACGATTTGGAGGGTCGGATTTGGACGACCTGCAGATTGGCGGGTCAGATTTTGGTGACCTGCAGATTGGAGGGTCGGACCCAAGTGACCCGCGATTTAGAGGGTCGGATTTGGGCGACCTGCAGATTGGCGGGTC